GGTTTAAAAAACGAAAATTTTGATCACATATATAACGAAAATTGTCCAATTGGTATTTCGAAAATCGGTAAAAAATTAAAATTTTGATTACGTAACCAACGACCAAACCCCCCCCCCCCCCCCCCCCCCCCCGTAATCAACCGTAAGCATTTGAAACCCCCCCTCGGCTGATTACGTAATATGTGAACGACCCTTACTGCAATTTTCTAGATTCTGTTTCAGTAAACGTGCACACTGTACGTTGTTTTACAGTTCTGTAATATTAGCTGCAGCTGAAGCAATACTTACTTACTTACTTGTACTTGAAAAGGTCTCCTCCTAGTCGTTGGAGTGGCCTGCACCACAAAGTAACTCCTTTCTCCGGTGTATTAGACCTCTCCAGTGAACCCTGTCTGTAGCTTGTTGTTCTGCATCTTCTATCGTGATGTTATCGACACCTGTGAAGATTGCTGCATCCTCCCGGACACATGACAACCAGTTTTTCCGAGGTCTACCTCTTGACCTTTTACCATGCTTTGGGATCCAGTGCAGAAGATAGTTGGGTATTCTTTCTTCTGGCATCCTCACCACATGGCCAAACCATCGGAGTCTAGCTGCTCGTACGAAAGTATCAACAGGGGCGATGTTAGCCCGCTTAAGTACATCAGCATTAGATACATGATAAAACCATTTTATTTTCAGGATTCTCCTGAGACATCTATGATGGAACACCTCAAATCTTTTCATCTGCGTCTGTGTGGTATTCCATACCTCACTTCCATAAAGCAGTATAGTGAGAACAGCCGCTTTGTAAATCCTGATTTTAGTTGGAGTCTTGATGTTGCGACTGTACCATATACTGCTGAGCTGATAGAATGCCCCAGAGGCCTTTTGAATTCGAGCTGAAAGTTCTTTGTCAATTGTTCCATTCGCACTGATGATTGCACCCAAGTAAGTGAAATTGCTGACCTGCTGTATTGGGAGACCTTCCACATTGATGTCCATAGTGTCGTCTTTAGAATACGGCCTCTGCGATGCACTTTTGCTGACAACCATGCTCTGTGTCTTGCCAGCATTAATCTTCAGACCCGCATAGGCACTGTATTTGCAGAGAAGGTCAGTGGTTTCCTGCAGCCCCTCTTTTGAGTTATCTAACATAGCCATGTCATCAGCGTAATCAGTGTCCAAAAGATGTTTCTCTTCTACCCCGGGGGCTGGCAGCTGTAATAAAGCCCCTTTGCTAATGACCTTGTTCAGTTCCATAAGGTATGCCGAAAAATTCAAACAAAAGTTGAAGACTGGTGGTCCCTGTATATCACCTTGCCCAGTACCCGAGTTGACATCAAACCAACCTGTAACCTCTCCATTGACCCTAACAGCACTAACTGTGTGAGTGAAGAACGCTTTCATAATTCTAATGTACTTGTCAGGTAAGCCGTAGTGCTGCATACTTCTCCAAATGAACTGCCTGTCAATTGAATCAAAAGCTGCTTTGAAATCAACAAAATTAATATACAGAGGGATATTATACTCAATGCATTGGTGTATAATACAGCGGAGTGAATAAACCTGGTCAATACATGAGCGATTCTGTCTAAAACCACTTTGATTTTCCCGGAGGAATCTTTCCATGCCATTGCTAAGTCTCCGCAGGAGTATCATCTGCAGGAGCTTCGAGGCTGTGGATCTTAATGTAATGCCTCTGTTGTTAGCGCAATGAGAAGTGTCACCTTTCTTTCCAACGATGATAATAACACCTTTGGACCAATCCTCAGGAATCTTCTCATCTACCCACACTTTCTTGAACAACACAACTAGTTGATCGACCAACCCATCCTGTCCATATTTAAGTTGCTCGTTGGTGATACCATCCACTCCTGGACTTTTGTGATTCTTGAGTTTTTTGAGGGCATCAACAATCTCGTTTCTTGTAGGAGCTTCATCCGAATCGGAAAGGTCGTCAAAACTGGGTTGCGGAGGGATGTTGTCTAGGTCAGAAATATTGGCCTCTTGCGGGGGAGGGTTCAATAGCCTAGAGAAGTGCTCTTTCCACCTTTCTTTCTGGGCATGTGGGTCGGCAATCAACTGGCCAGATACGTCTCTAACTGCAGTTGACTGCTTCTTCTTCTTTCCAGATATGACATTGATCTTCTGCCATACCTCACGTTGCTGACCTTTTCTCGCAGCTTCTTCCAAGTCATTGGCCATTCTACGTGCCCAGTTGTTATCGTCCACCTTGCTACTTTTTTTAAAGAGCTTATTCAATCTAGAATACTCTGACCTGTTAGCGTTCGAATTAGGGTCTTTACGCTTAAATTCCTTACGGTTCTTCAATAATTCTTTTGTCTTCTGAGATTGGTGCCTGTCCTTCTTTTTTCGAGGTCTTTGCCCAAGGATTTCCATGGAAGCTTGTTGGACAGTTGTCTTGAAGTTGTCCCACATTGATTCCAGGTCAACCTCAGGTTCCAAACAGTCAAATTTGTTTCTCAGAACAATATTGTATTCGGAAACAAGTGAATGATCACGCAGATGCTCAATAGCAGGAATCTCAAGCTTACGTTCCTGCTTCTTTTTCACTGACATAAGCTTCATTCTCAGTCGTGCTCTTACCAAATAGTGATCAGACCCAATGTCAGCCCCCCTACAAACTTTTACATTTAGCAAGGAGCCTCCAAACTTCTTACTGATACAGATGTGGTCTATTTGGTTTACAGTACGACCATCAGGTGATCTCCACGTACCTTTATGTATATCCTTTTGCTGAAACATAGTGCCCCCGATGGTAAGTTGGTGGGCAATGCAAAAGTCCAACAATCGGGTACCATTGTCATTTGATGAGCTGTGAAGCGAGTGTCCACCAATGACACCTGACATAGAACTGCAGTCCGATGTGACCTTAGCATTAAGATCACCGAGCAGTAATTTTAAATCATGTCGGGGTAGCTCATCGAATGCACTTGACAACTGCTGGTAGAATTCATCCTTATCATTATCTGAAGCCCCCTCAGTTGGCGCATATGCCACAACAACAGAGATGTTCAGGTGTTGACTATGCAGCCTTGCACTCAACAAACGGTCAGATATTGGTAGATAGGAAATTAATGAATTTTTAATCTTCTTTGAAAGGGTAAGACCGACACCTCGCCTTCTTATACCGTCCGTCCTCCCTGAATAAATAAGTAAGGAGCCATTATCCAGTAGCTCTGATCCTGTACCAGGCATATGGGTCTCAGTTATACCCAGCAAGTCCAACTTATACTCAGAGATATTCTCTGATAGCTGGAACAACTGACTTGAACTACTTGTCAGAGATAATACATTCCATGTCCCAAATGTAAGACCTGTTTTAGAATAATTCGCTGGCTGTTTCTTATTAGAGTCGGAGTCCACATGGGTGATCTGTGGAGAAATAAATCTGCTACAATGACGTGTTCTCCCAACACTCATCTGGCCACGGGGGTCCCTTAGGCTTTGCCCCGCCACCTTCATACTGGTATCATCCGTCCTTGCAGAGGGAGCCACACACCGTTTCTTGTTGTTACTTTGTGATGTTTCTGCAGCAAATGTTTAGAGAGGAAAAGTTGCCAGCATCTCGCACCCGGTTTTTTATCGACCTTTGCCTGTCTAGATCCATAGTGTTTTGTTGCACGTCATCTGTTTAAACTGGAGTCACCCAGGACAGATTACAATGCTTAATAGTAGCACCTCGAAAAGGATGTGATTCTTCATCACGCACTATGGTCATTGGAATAGGAGAGGTTATCAGTGACACGATCACTATTCCCTGAGATTAAAAATAATCTCTTGCCACCAAAGCAATACAGTCACGACAATAATGAACATCACCATGATTATAATATGTTGTGCCGTTTTGAAGAAACTGATAAAATATGACAGAAACGCAACCCTTTAATAACTCACATAATTCTTCTTAGAATTGCACAGAAATTTCAGAGATTATATTTATAGACATGGGTGACGAAATCACTGAAATAAGTGCCATGCCAAGATCACGTATCTGCAATATCTTAAAAGGGTCATAACTCGATTAAATTGTAAACAACCAATTTGAAATTTGGGGAAAGCACTTCAATTATCAAACCAAACATGCCTAGAAACTTTGAAGTTCCTAGCTGAAAGCGTTCTCAGTTTCTCACTTTATGGTGACAATAGCGAAAAGAAGGATTGGCGTGCCACACCCACTGTAATTATTTAAATTTGACGAAACTTTCAGGAAATCTAAGTTTGACCCATATCTATAATCTCTGAAATTTCTGTGCAATTCTAAAAAGAATTACGTGAGTTATTAAAGGGTTGCGTGTGGGTAGTTAATTTTGGACCACCTTGGTGAGGAAACCTAATTCAAGCCAAAGTTTTATTGTGATTATATTATTATTTATATCAAAATGAGTTAATAAGAAGGTCGATTTCTCGGTTATTTTTGAGCTTTCGTTCAGAAAATAATTCGGGGCCCTCAAAGGGGGGTAACAAGAAGGCGTTACAAGTGTTACACGCCTTCTATAATACAAAATATGTATCACCTCATCAGCCTGCTTAACATGTGCTCCACCTAAAATGTAAACAAACAATTATCACCTCCTCAGCCTGCTTAACATGTGCTCACTATTAATGTAAACAAACAATACCCCGCCAGTATAATCCACATCTAATTCTATATATCTTCCATTTCAATCACTTCAACCGTGTTTTGAGCTGAGCTGCATTCACAATTCACATCACTAGTCGGATACTGGACAAAATGACAAACTACTTGCAATTATACTGTAAGGAGGCGTTCACATAAATTACGTAATCACTTTCTGGCCAATTTTTTCACCCCCTCCTCCTCCATAATCAATTTTACACATAGTTATTGTGTATTGTGTCAAAATTACACTAGCGTAATCATTTGGAAACCCCCGTCCCCCTCCCGGCTCCCCCGGCTGATTTCGTAATATGTAAACTTAAGTACATGGACAAATGTCCCCAACCAGTACCAGATAAAATAAAACTAGTTGTAATAAATTTCTGACAGCTGCTATGAGCAGCAAATAGTAGAACTACTAACAAGAACTTATCTGTACATCTATAAACATTAAATAGCAAATTTTTATTTCGACGTAAAAACAATAACTTACACGTAGTTGAACCTTTTATGAAAGTTTGTGAAAGTACGTTGTCGGAAGATTGTTCTAAAAAGAGTCCGCCATTCCAATTCCAATTCAAACTTGACCAATTTCTGATGTATAACCTCAACCCTCAAACAAAGTTATCACTTTTAAACCTTAAGATTTACTGTCTTATTCAACACCCTCTTGGACAACTATTCCCGTTTAATCACAACATTCTGCGACTTATATTCAAGATAAAGTTTCTAAACGTCCAAGTGAAGGTCTTTGTTTCGAATGTGATCTTGTAAGGTGTCGAGTTTGCGATGGATTGTCTTGCCGAGTTTGTTCTGTCGTTCTAAATCAAACTCAGCCAGTTGTTCTTCCCTTGTCAATCTGAAGTTTGGGATACATTTTATTAAATCGTCACATCACACATGCCTTCTCATAATAACAACCGATATTCGTAAATCGAATTCAACTTAATTAGATGAATATCAAAGTCTCCAGCTAGTCAAATTTGATTGTAATTGTTTGAATTGTGAGTGACAATAACACGATCAGCTCAATAATAATATAAACATCAACATTAATTAATTAATTAATTAATTAACAAATACCTGTGTATGGGACCGTTAATATCGTGTGAAGTGTACATGTGAGGTAAGGGATCCTCCTCCTTTTCGAACTGAAGGAGAAACTGCTCGGCTACACTCTCGGGAGTAGGGTGAATTAGAGCTCCCACCTCCTCGTCCTCTCCGATCTGATGTTTAATTATTATTAATTAAGTTTGTTTAGAGCTCCTGAGGTTTACAGAAAACAGCTGTGGTATTGGAGAGAGAGAGGTGTTCTCGTTGTTATAACTATTAAAGTGTTAATTATGTAGATCGCGCAAAATGAGAAAATGGCAAAATTTGTCGATCGCCCAGACTCATTCGTTCGGGTATGATTCTTTTTGAAATTTGTTGATAGAAACAATGGCAAAATGGCCGAAAAGGTAAAATGTATAAACTTAAATTTACAGGTTCAATTGTAGATGTTGGTGATTTCCTGTAAATTTGGACGTACATTCCCATGACTGGCCGAGAGAAAGAAGGTGAAAGTGAAACAAGGTGAAAGTGAAACAAGGTGAAAGTGAAGTACAAACCTCTAGATCTGGAGTGAGTTCAGTCATTAACTCGGGTATAGGATCCTGTAACAGACCTTCTCTTCTCGGACACCAAACACTTCCTATAGTACTCATGTTATTCACACTAACCTGGGAAATGAGAATGGGTTAGTCATTTTAAAATAGAATGTATTGGACGCATTTTACGTTGAAAACTGCGACCACAGGGTACAAATAATAGTGGTCAGGATACAACAGTGGTCAGGATACAAGTAATAGTGATCAGGGTACAAATAATAGTGGTCAGGATACAAGTAATAGTGGTCAGGATACAAGTAATAGTGGTCAGGATACAAGTAATAGTGGTCAGGGTACAAGTAATAGTGGTCAGGATACAAGTAATAGTGGTCAGGGTACAAGTAATAGTGGTCAGGATACAAGTAATAGTGGTCAGGATACAAGTAATAGTGGTCAGGGTACAAGTAATAGTGGTCAGGGTACAAGTAATAGTGGTCAGGATACAAGTAATAGTGGTCAGGGTACAAGTAATAGTGGTCAGGATACAAGTAATAGTGGTCAGGGTACAAGTAATAGTGGTCAGGATACAAGTAATAGTGGTCAGGGTACAAGTAATAGTGGTCAGGGTACAAGTAATAGTGGTCAGGATACAAGTAATAGTGGTCAGGATACAAGTAATAGTGGTCAGGATACAAGTAATAGTGGTCAGGGTACAAGTAATAGTGGTCAGGATACAAGTAATAGTGGTCAGGGTACAAGTAATAGTGGTCAGGGTACAAGTAATAGTGGTCAGGGTACAAGTAATAGTGGTCAGGATACAAGTAATAGTGGTCAGGGTACAAGTAATAGTGGTCAGGATACAAGTAATAGTGGTCAGGGTACAAGTAATAGTGGTCAGGATACAAGTAATAGTGGTCAGGGTACAACAGTGGTCAGGATACAACAGTGGGACCAGGATACGATTGATTGGGAACTGGGTTTTACTACCCCAGTTAATGTTTACTAAAATAGATATTGAACAGCAATTTAATAAGATAAAAATCGTACCAGCGTACTTTAAAATCTGTATGATTCATGAAATTAAAAGTAGCTATGACCATTAAGAGTTAAATATATTGTTTATAAACAATATATTTAACTCTTAATGGTCATAGCTACTTTTAATTTATATATATAAATATTCCCCATCATGGACTAGTGGCTCAACAAAACTGTGTCGGAAATTAAAGCTCAGCTAAAGCCTGAAGACTATTCAGTCTTGTATAGAAAATAACTACAGCTACCAATATGTCCCTCACAAACAAGGTCCAAAACATATCAAAACAGCACACGAAACACACACTCAAAAAAAGTTGTCAACCGTTGCTCTCATCGGCACAATAAATTTGCCCGTCCTTTATGTAAAACTTTTTGGTCGGTTCTGCAAGTGCCCGCTTCTTCATGTCCTGTACCAGATCTTTCCGGAGCTTCCTCTGTTCGACAGACCGATCAGGGCTCAAGAAAACTGTCTTAAACTTCTCACTCTGCCGCAGGTTCCTGGCATTCCTCAGAATCTGATTAATGATGAGCGAGTTTGAGGTGATAACTTTAACTGGTCGCGTTGAGTCAACCGTTTTCTTTTTTCCTATTCTCTGAGCCTCTACTTTTGGCTTTATGCCAATAGTTTCTAGAACTTCACTGACTTGAGATTCGAGCTTCTCTTCTTTTTCCTCAGGCAGACCGAAGATAAGAAGGTTCCTGCTGCGGTCCTCCTCTGCAACAATAGTCTTGACTACAGACGTCAATGCTTCCGGGCTGATAACTGGAGACTGTGCTGGCAAACTTTGAACGACTGAGCTGTAAGATTGGAACTCCGCTTTCACTGAATCAGCAACTGAACTTGACACAGTTTTCTTCATCGCTTCAAGTTGCTCAGTCTTGCAAGCTGATAGCTCGGCCTGAACACTGATAACCTGCTCTTGCTTCTCAATTAACTGACCCTGAAGTCTGGTCAACACATTCTTATACGCTTCAACGGTCTCCATAAGATAGTTCGTATACTCAAAAGATCGACCACACACATCGACAATCTCCGGCTTATTCAGTCTGTTGAAGTTCTTAGCGTCCGCAATGTCCTTTAACTTTCCGTAAGGCTTGCCAAATTTCTTCAGAGTCTCTTTGCTCCAGGTGAACATCTCATTCCACATGTAATTGATACTTTCCAAGTCCAAATCTGCCATCGTAAAGATCAGCACAACAAGCTAGCAGCGCAGTAGCGGTGTAATTATCAAGAGATAAGCAGTGCGATAACGAGAGCTAACAATTTTAAAACGGCAGTGAGAGTGTATTTCTGATAATGAACGGCAGTGAGAGTGTATTTCTGATAATCATACAACAGTGGTCAGGATACAACAGTGGGACCAGGGTACAAGTAATAGTGGTCAGGATACAACAGTGGTCAGGATACAACAGTGGGACCAGGGTACAAGTAATAGTGGTCAGGATACAACAGTGGTCAGGATACAACAGTGGTCAGGATACAACAGTGGGACCAGGGTACAAGTAATAGTGGTCAGGATACAAGTAATAGTGGTCAGGGTACAACAGTGGGACCAGGGTACAAGTAATAGTGGTCAGGATACAAGTAATAGTGGTAAGGATACAACAGTGGGACCAGGATAAAAGTAATAGTGGTCAGGATACAACAGTGGGATCAGGGTACAAGTAATAGTGGTCAGGATACAAGTAATAGTGGTCAGGATACAAGTAATAGTGGTCAGGGTACAAGTAATAGTGGTCAGGATACAAGTAATAGTGGTCAGGGTACAAGTAATAGTGGTCAGGATACAAGTAATAGTGGTCAGGATACAAGTAATAGTGGTCAGGGTACAAGTAATAGTGGTCAGGGTACAAGTAATAGTGGTCAGGATACAAGTAATAGTGGTCAGGGTACAAGTAATAGTGGTCAGGATACAAGTAATAGTGGTCAGGGTACAAGTAATAGTGGTCAGGATACAAGTAATAGTGGTCAGGGTACAAGTAATAGTGGTCAGGGTACAAGTAATAGTGGTCAGGATACAAGTAATAGTGGTCAGGATACAAGTAATAGTGGTCAGGATACAAGTAATAGTGGTCAGGGTACAAGTAATAGTGGTCAGGATACAAGTAATAGTGGTCAGGGTACAAGTAATAGTGGTCAGGGTACAAGTAATAGTGGTCAGGGTACAAGTAATAGTGGTCAGGGTACAAGTAATAGTGGTCAGGGTACAAGTAATAGTGGTCAGGATACAAGTAATAGTGGTCAGGGTACAAGTAATAGTGGTCAGGATACAAGTAATAGTGGTCAGGGTACAACAGTGGTCAGGATACAACAGTGGGACCAGGATACAACAGTGGTCAGGATACAACAGTGGGACCAGGGTACAAGTAATAGTGGTCAGGATACAACAGTGGTCAGGATACAACAGTGGGACCAGGATACAAGTAATAGTGGTCAGGATACAAGTAATAGTGGTCAGGATACAACAGTGGGACCAGGGTACAAGTAATAGTGGTCAGGATACAACAGTGGGATCAGGGTACAAGTAATAGTGGTCAGGATACAAGTAATAGTGGTCAGGATACAAGTAATAGTGGTCAGGGTACAAGTAATAGTGGTCAGGATACAAGTAATAGTGGTCAGGGTACAAGTAATAGTGGTCAGGATACAAGTAATAGTGGTCAGGATACAAGTAATAGTGGTCAGGGTACAAGTAATAGTGGTCAGGGTACAAGTAATAGTGGTCAGGATACAAGTAATAGTGGTCAGGGTACAAGTAATAGTGGTCAGGATACAAGTAATAGTGGTCAGGGTACAAGTAATAGTGGTCAGGATACAAGTAATAGTGGTCAGGGTACAAGTAATAGTGGTCAGGGTACAAGTAATAGTGGTCAGGATACAAGTAATAGTGGTCAGGATACAAGTAATAGTGGTCAGGATACAAGTAATAGTGGTCAGGGTACAAGTAATAGTGGTCAGGATACAAGTAATAGTGGTCAGGGTACAAGTAATAGTGGTCAGGGTACAAGTAATAGTGGTCAGGGTACAAGTAATAGTGGTCAGGGTACAAGTAATAGTGGTCAGGGTACAAGTAATAGTGGTCAGGATACAAGTAATAGTGGTCAGGGTACAAGTAATAGTGGTCAGGATACAAGTAATAGTGGTCAGGGTACAACAGTGGTCAGGATACAACAGTGGGACCAGGATACAACAGTGGTCAGGATACAACAGTGGGACCAGGGTACAAGTAATAGTGGTCAGGATACAACAGTGGTCAGGATACAACAGTGGGACCAGGATACAAGTAATAGTGGTCAGGATACAAGTAATAGTGGTCAGGATACAACAGTGGGACCAGGGTACAAGTAATAGTGGTCAGGATACAACAGTGGTCAGGATACAACAGTGGGACCAGGGTACAAGTAATAGTGGTCAGGATACAACAGTGGTCAGGATACAACAGTGGGACCAGGGTACAAGTAATAGTGGTCAGGATACAACAGTGGTCAGGATACAACAGTGGGACCAGGGTACAAGTAATAGTGGTCAGGATACAAGTAATAGTGGTCAGGATACAAGTAATAGTGGTCAGGATACAAGTAATAGTGGTCAGGGTACAACAGTGGGACCAGGGTACAAGTAATAGTGGTCAGGATACAAGTAATAGTGGTCAGGATACAACAGTGGGACCAGGATACAAGTAATAGTGGTCAGGATACAAGTAATAGTGGTCAGGATACAAGTAATAGTGGTCAGGATACAACAGTGGGACCAGGGTACAAGTAATAGTGGTCAGGATACAACAGTGGGACCAGGGTACAAGTAATAGTGGTCAGGATACAAGTAATAGTGGTCAGGATACAAGTAATAGTGGTCAGGATACAACAGTGGTCAGGATACAACAGTGGGACCAGGATACAAGTAATAGTGGTCAGGATACAACAGTGGGACCAGGATACAAGTAATAGTGGTCAGGATACAACAGTGGTCAGGATACAACAGTGGGACCAGGATACAAGTAATAGTGGTCAGGATACAACAGTGGGACCAGGGTACAAGTAATAGTGGTCAGGATACAAGTAATAGTGGTCAGGATACAAGTAATAGTGGTCAG